GTGTTCAGTGGGACTGGGACACAGAACAAGAAGCAGCTTTCACTCCCATCAAACACCTAGTGATGACATCACCAGTGCTGAGGGATTATGATGTCAGCAATGGAGCCACCCTGCAGTGTGATGTCAGTGAGGGCAACCTGTTGTGTTTGTATCCAGAGCGTTAACACAAACTCGTAATCCAGATATGACCTGCGCAAAGCCATCAGAGATGCCAAGAGGCAGTACTGGACCAAGTTAGAGGTGCAAACCAACCATATGGACTCCCGCACAAACATCAACACATTAATGAGGGATGAAACCATTTACTTATAACTTGTGTGTCAAGTCATTCTTGCAGTTTGTATCCAGGATGTTAATGTTTACTGAATGACATTACATACACATTGAGAAGAGGAGGCTGGCTGATGTTTTTCTGTAATGAATTTTTCAACGATTACCTGTTTGGGAGAGAAAAGTAGAGTCTGATCGCTGACTGCTTCAAACTATCTTTCTCAAACAACTCCTATCCATTCCGAACTGTTGCAAGAAGATATTACTTCATTTGCAGAGATATCATTTCCAAGTGAAGACCTGAACACTTTAAAGTTTGTGTGTGCCATGCTGTGTGTGGACAGGGGAAATTGGAACAAACTTTTTTTTTGGTTCACATATGGTCATTTTCTTTACAGACTGTGTGTGTGGAATAATGTGTAAATAATCGTGCATGCATTTTTTTTCATGTATATACTGTAGCTTCCCATATAAGTATGACTTTTCTTACCATCATCTGTAAATAAAGGTTTGAGGGCAATAACTATTGTGTATGTCCCATGGAACAAACTTAAAATTCAAGACGAATCAAGCTGAAGAAATAATTCAAGAGACTGTTCCTCTGGTGGTGAGCTCAGAACAAGGAGCAGAGCACGAAAAGTAGAACAAGGCTGTCCAGGAATAATAAAATAAACATATCTTGACAAGAAGGGGACTGGAAATCTGGAACTCTCCTTATAAAATTTTGTTGAGGCTGGATGGAATCAATTGAAAATTTCAAAACTCAGATTTATAGCTATTCAAGAGGACTGAGTATTACAGAGTGAATGCAGCTGATGAGATAGGGGTATAAAATGGAGAGGGGAGGTGCGTTGATCAAAGACACAATTATGGGTGTGGGGAAGGCTGATCTGTTAGAAGGATCATCAAATAAGGAAACATGGATTGAGCTAAGAAACTAATAAGGGGAAATGACATTGCTGAGAGTATATTATAGCCCTCAAAAAGTCAGAGGAGTAACACATACACAAGCAAACCTCTGAGTAATGCAAAAAGAATCAGTTCAAGGGCCTTGCCACTGATGCCCACATCATACAAGATTAAAGAATAAAAAACAAAAGTTCATGTCTGACACCAAGAACTCAATACCACAGAAAGCCCAAGAAGAGGACAAAACATGAAGGTGTGAAATCAAAAAGGAAATCAGGAAAGCAAATAGGGGATATGAAAGAATATTCACAAGCTAAATCAAAGCAAACCCAATGATGTTTTATCAAACATAGAAAAGAGGAGCAGGAATAAACATTCAGCCCTTTAAGCCTGCTCCAGCATTCAATTTGATCATGGCCGATCATCTAATTTAGTGCCCTGTTCCCACTTTCTTCCCAGATCCTTTTAGCTCTAAAAACTATATGTAACTCCTTGAAAACATTCACTGTTTGGTCCCAACTGCTTTCTGTGGCTGAGAGTTCCACAGGCTCACCACTCTCTGGGTGAAGACATTTCTCTTCATCTTAGACCTAAATGGCCTACCCTGTATCCTTAGACTGTGACCCCTAGTTCAGGACTCCTCGGTCATTTTTTGCATTTGCTTTGTTTAGTCCCGCTAGAATTTTATACATTTATATGTGATTCCACACTCCCTCAGTCAGTGTGAATATAATCCTAACTGATCCAGCCTCTCTTCATGTGTCAATCTGCCAGCCCAGAAATCAGATTGACAACCCTTTGTTGCACCCTATCTCTAGCCAGAACATCTTTTGTCAGATAAGGAGACCAAAACATGTACACAATACTGCAGGTGTGGCCTCACCAAGGCCCTGTACAACTGCAGCTGGACATCCCTGCTCCTGTACTCGAAACCTCTCACTATGAAGGCCAACATACCATTTGCCTTCTTCACCACCTGCTGCACCTATATGCTTACTTTCAGCAGCTGGTGTACAAGAACACCCAGGTCTCATTGCACCTTTCCCAGTCTGTCACTATTTACATAATAGTCTACCTTCCTGGTTTTGCTACTAAAGTGGATAACTGCTCATTTATCCACATGAAACTTCACTTGCCATGCATTCCCCACTCACTCAACTTGTTCAAATCACACTGAAGCATTTCTGCGTCCTCCTCATAGATCACCCCCCACCCAGCTTTGAGTCATCTGCAAAGGTGGAGATATTACTTGTTAAGTATTAGCTACTTCATCTAAATCATAAATAAAGAATCGTGAATAGCTATAGTCATAGTAGGCCTACAATGTGGAAACAAGCCTAACGTGTTCACACCACCCCTCCGTACAGCATCCCACCCAGACCCATCCCCCTACCCTTTCCTTGTAACCGTACATTTCCCATAGCCAATCCACCTAACCTGCACATCTTTGGACTGTGGGAGGAAACTGGAGCACCCAGCAGAAACCCACGCAGGCAAGGGGAGAATGTGCAAACTCCACACAGTCGCCTGAAGGTGGAAGTGAATCGGGGTCCCTGGCGCTGTGAGGCAGCAGTGTTAACCACTGAGCCACTGTGCTGCCCCAGTCCAAGCACTGATCCCTCTGGTACCCCAGCAGTCATTGCTGCCACTTGGAAAAAAGACCTGTTTATTAGGAACATAGGAACAGAAGTAGGCCATTCACCCTCTTGAGTTTGTTCCACCATTCAATGAGACCATGGCTGATATGTGGCCTAACTCCATATTCCTGCCTTTAATACTTTTGCTTAACAAAAATGTCACATTTAAAATTAACAACTGATCCTGCATCTACTGCTGTTTGTGGAAACAAGTTCCTAACATGTACCACTCTTTGCATGTAGAAGTGCATCCTAACATCTATACTGAATGGTCTGGCCCTAATTCTCAGATTATGCTCTCTAGATTTAGAATTCCCAACCTATAGAAATAGTTAATCAACCCTGTCTTTTCCTGTTAGTATAGATTTCATAGAATCCCTACAGTGTGGATACAGGCCCTTTGGCCCAACAAGTCCACACTGACCCTCAGAGAATCCCACCCAGACTCATCCCTCTATAAAGCACCTAATCTACACATCCCTGAACACTATGGGCAATTTAGCATGGCCAATCCACCTAGCCTGCACATCTTTGGACTGTGGGAGGAAACCTACACAGACATGGGGAGAATGTGCAAACTCCACACAGACAGTTGTGCGAGGGTGGAACTGAACCTGGGACCCTGGTGCTGTAAGGCAGCAGTACTAACCACTAACCACTGAGCCACCGTGCTGCCCCAAATGTTGTATGTTGAAGATTTGATCAGATCATCCCTTAACCTTCTAAATTCCAGAGAAAGCCAGCCTAATTTGGAAAATCCTCATAACTTACCCCTTGAAGTCCAGGTATTACTCTTGTAAACCCATGTACTACTCCCTCCAAGGCCAATATATCCTTCCTAAAGTATGGTGCCCAGATCTGCTCACAGTACTCCAAGTGGGGACTAACCAGGTTTTGTGTAGCTGCATAATTTCTACATCCTTGTAGTGCAGTCCTTTAGATATAAAGGCTAGAATTCCATTATTCCTACTATTTGTTATCAGTCTGCCAGCCACTTCTCTGTCTATGTCAGTAATCCCAATCACATTCACACGTTCATCTCTCATGTGTGTCTTTATTGAAAGCCTTCTGACGGTACAAGTAAACCACACTCATTGGCGCTCCTTATTAACTCTACAAGTTACATTCTGAAAAAATTCCAGTAGATTTGTCGAGCATGATATCCCTTTCATAAAGCTGTGCTGACTCTATTTGATCCTGTCACTGCTTTTCAAGTACTGTGCTATTAAATATTTGATAATGGACTTCAGCATCTTCCCACTATCGATGTCAGGCTAACTGGTTTATAATTTCCTGTTCTTACTCTACCTCCTTTTTAAAAGTTATATTAGCTACCCTCCAATCCATAGGAACTGTTCCAGAGTCTCAAGAGTCTTGAAAGGTAACCACGAATGCATCCGTTATTTCTAGGGCCACTTCCTTAAGTGCTCTGGAATATAGATTATTGGGCCCTGGGGATTTATTGGCCTGTAATCTCAACAATTTCCCCAACACCATTTCCCTACTAATACTGATTTTCTTCACTTCCTCCTGCTCACGACCTTGTGATCATACAAATACGAATCACAGAACTATTAAGACACAGGAGGCCATTCAGCCTATTGTGTCTGGACCAGCTCTAATATCCAGTTTAGTTCCATGATCTAGTGCTAATCTCCCACCTTTTCCCCATATCACACCATTACAATCCAAAACGAAACATCCAAAGCACTCTTGAATGCCTCACTTGAACCTGTTTTTGCCACATTTCCAGGCAGTACATTGCATTACAGTTGTTCTTCTATTGTCTGCACCTTTAATTTCCTGTTTAATGCCTTCCTTAACATTACTACTACAGTTTAGGGGTCTATAGACAACACCTGCTATCATTTTCTGCCCCTTGATGTTTCCAGGCTGTACCCATACAGAATCCACTTCACCACAACTAATATCCTTCTTCATTATTTACAGTAATATCACCTTTAAGCAGTAATGCTTCCATACCTTATTATAAATAGAATGGGGGCTATCACACAGCCTTGCCTGACACCAGTCTGGATTTTGATGCTTTCTGGTTCAGATCTCCTACTCAAGACAGTTATAATTATAACCATTATAAAATAATTGCAGGATTGTGAAGGTGATTTTACCTTTAATTCTTGTCCTGACAAGACTAAAACCATTTAAAGCAACATGGTACTTGGATAGAAAAACCAGGAATTTTATTAGAAAGTAAACCTATATTTAAGAAACTTCAAGAAATGACTTTCCAGCTTTTTTTGGTGCTCTCTGTAACTAGAGGTTTGGTCACAGTCAACATTGTCTCCTCTCTCCCTCTGTCTACCATGCCACATGGGGAAGCCGTTTTTTCTCCTCAATGCAAGTCTTACCTTCAGAGTCATCTATTGTTTCAGCATGATGAGGCATTACCAAACTCTGCTTTTAACTCAGTAATGCAGCCATATGCCTGCATTTCTGTAAATTACAAAATTTTAAACTGATTAACCACTATTACACCTCAATGCATGCAGAACTCAATTAAGATTTATGGTTAATTGTAATTCATTTTTCTTAATACAGTGACATAAAATTAAAATTGACTGTTTAACCAATCTGTTAGCTTCATTATCGAATACTACACCTAACTACATATTTGTAAGGAAGTTTCTTGGACGTAAAAACTGTTGCAACAAAAACCACGTAGCCTCGTGATTTAAAGTCAAATACTTTGGTCAAGTCATTGAATATAAGAAAAGTTCATGAGATTGCTCTTGATATTTTTCTTGGACTTTTCTGGCAACAAAGACCATGTTGGACATTTCTCTGGAAGGTTTAAATCCAAGTCAAAGTATTATGATGTCTGTATCATTCGATCCATATGGGACTGTGGCTGCTGGATAGACCATCGACTTGTTTGATCAGTGATGAACAAACACACAGCACCAAGACATCACAAGGCTCAGAGTCCAAGAGGAAGAAGATGAATGTCTCAGCCCAAAAACACCCCAATCGAAGAAAGAAGTTCCAGGTTCAGACCATAATCAATCTAGAAAATCTTTCCACATCTGAAGCACTTCAAAAGTCGTGTGAAATAAAGTCAGCTGGTTAAGTCGCGAAGAGGACATAAAAAGTCTATAAAGGGACATAGACAGGTTGTCAGTGGGCAAAAACACGGCAGATAGAGTATTATGGAATAATGTGAACTTGTCCAATTTTGCATGAAGAATAAAAAAAATCAACATCTTATTCAAATGGACACAGAGTGAACTTGGTGGTACAGAGGGATCTGGGTATAGCAAACAAATAGCAAGGTTGATAATTGCAAGGAGAGTGCAACATAAAATTAGGGATGTTTCACTAGTTGTTGTATAAAGTGTTTATGAGACCATATCTGGAAGTCTGTGTATAGTTTTGGTCTCCTGATTTAAGAAAAAATGCAAATATGTTGGTTACAGTGCAGAGATTTACTCAAATCATACTTGGGAAGATATTTTATCAGTAAACAATGTCTATGCTGGACGTGTATTCATTGGAATTTAGAAGAATGAGAGATGATCATAATGAAACATAAGGTGACCTTATAGAGGTTTGTAAAATCATGAGAGGCATAGATAATGTGAATAGCAAAGGTCCTTTCTCCAGGTTAGGGGAGTTCAAAACTTGAGGGCATATTTTTAAGGTGAGAGAAGAAAAATTTAAGAGGGACCTGATGAGTAACTTTTTCACACAGAAAGTGGCTCATATGTGGAATGAACTGCTAAAAGAAGTGGTAGATGCAGGTACATGAATAGGAATGGTTTAAGAGGGATATGGGCCAAACACAGATAAATGGGACTAATTTAGTTTGGGAATCTTGGTCAGCATGGACGAGTTGGACCAAAGGGTCTGTTTCCACTCTATGTGACTCTGTCTTTATATGAAATCCTCTGTGACTGGACAAGGTGGATAATTAAAGTCTTTGTGAGAGAAACCAGAATTAAGGGCACACTTTAAATGGAGGTGGTTATCCATTTAAGATGGAAATGAGATGGAGTTTTTCTCTCAGAGGGTTACAGGTCTTTGGCACACTTTTCCACAGAGACAGGTGGAGGCCGGGTTATTGATTATTTTTAAGGCTGAAGTTGGTACATTCTTGACTGACAAAGTAGTGAAATGTTCTTGGGAGTAGGTGGGCTGAGGCTGCAATCAAATCAGCCAGGATATTATTGACTGGTGGTGCAGGTTTGAAGGACCGAATGGCCTAATGCTGCACCTTGTTTCTACGTACATTGCTAGATGTGACCTCCTGGAACTAAAACAATCAGCCTTCATGGCTTATAGAGCAACCCATTGTCACAGGTCAAGGAGGCAGCATCTCAAACTGACCCCAAGAGACAAATCTAAAAGGTAAAGAACGTGTGGTGGGATGAGAAAGCTTGAAAGAACAATATGCTGATCCTAATAATGTGAATCTTTGTGCAGTCACCAGGACCAAGGTCATACAGACAAAATCCCTTTCATCCATGGGACCAATGTTTCTCTTCTTAGGAATTAACACAAGAGAAATCTTTCTGAACCATTTCTCAAATACAGGGGCAGCTGATACCCTCCAGTCCATCCCCCCATTCTCTATGGGTGAATCCATGGGTGAGCAGGGATGTGCTGTTGCAGTTACACAGGGCCTTGGTGAGGCCACACCTAGAATATTGTGTGCAGTTTTGGCCTCCTTTTCTGAGGAAGGAATCTGTTGGTCTAGAGGGAGTGCAGCAAAGGTTTACCAGGCTGATTCCGGGGATGGCGGGTCAGACATATGAGGAGAGATTGAATAGGTTGGGATTGTGTTTTCCAGAGTTCAGATGAATGAGGAGGGATCTCATAGAGACTTATAAAATTCTAACAGGACTGGACAGGGTCGATGTAGGGAGAATGTTCCCAATGGTGGGTGTGTCTAGAACCAGGGATCACAATCTGAGGATTTGGGGTAGACAATTTAGGATGGAGATGAGGAGACATTTCTTCACCCAAAGAGTGGTGAGTCTATAGAATTCAGTACCACAGGAAGTAGTGGATGCTAAAACATTGCATGTATTTAAGGGGCGGCTAGATATAGCACTTGGGGTGAATGATATCAAAGGTTATGAGGAGAAGGCAGAATTAGGCTAATGAGTTGGACGATCTGCCATGATCGTAATGAATGGTGGAGCAGACTCGAAGGGCTGAGTGGCCTCCTCCTACTCCCAGCTTCTACGTTTCTATGAGTCACCATTTATGGGAGAGTTGCAACAAGCAATCTACCAGATGAGAAACACCAAAGTCTGTGGCCATGTTGGAATTCCAGCTGAACCTTTCAAAGCTTTTGCATAGTTTAAGATACTGTGAACTCATCCTATGGATTTGAGAGGAAAAAGAACTTTCCCCGACCTCAGGAATGTGGCAATTGTAACTATATTTAAGAAGGGAGATAAATTACACTGCACAAACTATGGAGGCATTTCCCTCTTATCCACAGCAGGGATAATCCAGACACACATTTCTCCTTAATCACCTACTTCCTGTGGTTGAGGAAACCCTCCTAGAGACTTAGTGATATTCGTGCATGAGTAGGAGCTTCTATACATATTCATGTCTTCATTTGGTGATCTGATCTACGGTTAACTTGACATTTTTGAAATGATTGGACTGATGATGGGAGACAGATAGGGCTTTGGAATGTCAGTTCCCCTGTGTGTGAGCACTGAAGGGTAAGCAACATAGACAAGTTCTCAGTGCAATGGAAGCAGATGATCAAGTTTCAAGTCCATGTGGAGATATGGTGAGTCCATGGTGAGAGAGGAGGTGGTGAAACAATCCTGGTACACATCACACTGGAAGGGATTATCTCCTGTGTACATTCATCGATGTTCCAGGATGTCCGACAATTGTGTGAAGTCCAGAAGGGTTTCTGTATATATGTGAGTGCATTGGTAGACCGAAAAGCCTTGTCACATAATTCAGACCTGAATGGTTTCTCACCAGTGCAGCTCCAAGATGCTCCAGGAGATTGGAGGTTTGGTTGAAGTTCTGTCACAAACATCATATTTAAAGGGTTATACCCCATTTGGATTCCACTGATAGGGCAAGAGTTACAATGACCTTGAGTACAATCTCTCACACTTCACACCTAGCAGAGGTTCAATGGCTGTGTGAAGGTTTGGTCACATGCCTGAAAGGAATCTTCTGTTTTATTAGGAGATTTGTTGGTTTTATAAAAGTTTCACCACAAACCTTACACTTTATGGGTCTCTTCCCTTTGGATTATCTAATGGTGCGGGAGACTTCTTAAATATGTGAAGATTTTTCTAACATCTGACCATATTCTTTCCTGTGAATTTGGTAATGCCGGCGGAAATGGTTAAGATCAAGAATGATATGTAGCATACCTAGCATGTGAATATTTTTGCCTCCATGTGAATGCGCCGGTGTACACGGAGATTCGATGAGTCTGAGAACGATTTATCACACACATTGCATGTGAAAGGTTTTTCCCCGGTGTGAATGCGTTGGTGATCGAGGAGGGTTGATGACCTTGAAAAGGATTTGTCACACAACCCACATGTGAATGGTTTCTCCCCTGTGTGACTGCGTTGATGGTCGAGGAGGTGCGACGGTCGCGCAAACGATTTGTCACACACTTCACACGTGAACGGTTTCTCACCGGTGTGAATGCGTTGGTGCACACGGAGGTGGGTCGAGTTTGAAAATGATTTTTTGCACACTTCACATCGAAATGGCTTTTCCCCGGTGTGACTGCGTTGATGAAGTCGGAGGTGTGAAGACTGTGAGAATGATTTGTTGCACATTGTGCACGTGAATGGTTTCTCCCCGGTGTGTAGGCGTTGGTGTCGGCGAAGATGTGATGAGACCGAGAATGATTTATCACACACCTCGCACGTGAACGGCTTCTCACCGGTATGAATGCGTCGGTGATTCACAAGCGTTGATGAGTGAGTGAAGGCTTGGTCACACACCTCACACCTGAAAGGTTTCTCACCTGTGTGAATCCTCTGATGTATCAAGAGATCAGACGAGTGGCAGAAAGCCATCTCACAAACCTCACACCTGAAGGGTTTGTCACCTGTGTGAATACGTTGGTGTGTCAGGAGGGTTGTAGATATGGCAAAAGATTTATGACAAACTTCACATTTGAATGGTTTTTCCCCCGTGTGAGTGTATTGGTGTGCATGGAGATGCGATGACCGTGAGAATGATTTCTCACACACCTCACATATGAATGGTTTCTCCATGGTGTGGATGCATTTGTGTTTCATGAGAGTAGATGATTTTGAAGAATCTTGGTCACCTGCCCCCCACTTGAATAGTTTCTTTTCCATGTTACTGTTCAACAAATGCAGTTTGTGTGTCAGGGAAATTGAACGTGTGCAGCCCTCCTCACAACCTCGTACCTTGAACTGCCCCTCACCTATAGGGTTGAGTCAGTGGGTCTTGGGCTCGATGAATTATTGAAGCTGTAACCACAACTGGAGCCACTCAGACTTCTTCCCAGCCTCACCCTGACCACAGCCGAACCTTCAGAAAAGTTGGTTCTGATGGAAGGCTCCACACCACTGGCCAGTTTCAGATCTGATGATATGTCAAAGCTCTCCTGACCCGACTGATTTCCAGATGATGGTTTCACTGCCCAACCTGCTCTGTGTTGAGCAATGCTGTGAAGGGACTGGATGTCTTCCCATCGTTGTGCAGTTGTTCCTTGGGTGATGGTCAGGATCTATCTGCAGTGTCTATCCTCTGTATTCTCTAGTGTAGTACGGTGCAATCCTTCTGTAAAACAGGAAAAAAAACATGATTTCCTGAATGGGCCGACTCCTCAGTATGCAGAATTAGAGAATTGTTAGTGCAGAAAATATTTGCATCATGTCCCCAAATAAGCAATTCACTTAAGTGACACTCTCCCACCTTCTCTGAATTACCCTTTCTTCCTTTTCTGTTAACTGCCTCTGGCTCAGACTCACCCCACGTGGATTCCAACTGAAGTTTCATCCCTCATGTTTTGAATCCTTCCAGAATCACAGATATCTCTGTCATGTTCAATGTTTCACAGACAGCTGCTCTCGCAGCTTCCTGAGATCCACACTAAGTGGCATGTGGTGTCACATGCACACTCTCAACCTCTCTCTCCAACAGCATCGCATCACACTGGCTCAGGGCTGCACCGTTCCACAGTTCCACTTCATCCTCTGGCTCATTTGTCGTGCTAACAAGAATCTTTTTCTTTTTCTTTCAGGCATCAAGGCCCACAAGATGCAACAACTCAAAAATACCCATAGCGCTCTGGAACCTACCTCTCCTCCCCTTCTCTCTGAAGCCATCCCCTCTTCCAACCTCACCTCCTGTCAGGTATTCATCAGCCCCCCTCACCTTCTGCTCTCTGATGCTGAACATTCTGGACTTGGCAAAGGCCTCAGATTTATTCCTCTGCATCCCCATCTTAACAAATTTCAGGCACGATATAACACCGAAACTCTATTTCTGCCATCTTCGCCTCCATGCTCATTTCTTTGGAGAGTCCTCTCTCCGTCCCACATACCCCTTCGTCCAGTTCCAACACTCTCCCTCCACCTGGACCCCTCCCTCTGGCCTTTTACCTGCACTCGATCTGTTCATTTGAGAACGATCGATGTGACAATAATCGCCTCAATTTCTCTGCCCCCCGCTCACCAAATCCAACCTGCCCCACTCCAAACTGACTGCACTCAGTGCACCCAGATCCAAACCCGATAAGGGTGGTGCTGATGTAGTCTGGTGTACTGACCTCTACCTTGCAGAGGCTGAGCGCCAACTCTCAGATACCTCCTCCTACCTTCCCCTGGACCAAGATCCCACCATGGCACATCAGGCCATTTGAACCACTACGGTTACAGATCTTATTTCATCCGGTGACCTTCCCCCACCATTGCTTCCAAGCTGATAGTCCCCCAGCCCCGCACAGCTCGTTTCTACCTCCTTTGAAAAATCCACAAACAGGACAGACCCATTGTTTCAGCCTGTTCCTGCCCCACAGAACTCATTTCTTTCTACCTTGACTCAGCCTTCTCCCCCCGGTCCAGTCCTTACCCACATACATCCATGATTCCTCTGACACCTTACACCGGTGTCAAAACTTCCAGTTTGCCGGTTCCAGCCACCTCTTTACCATGGACGTGCAATCCCTTTATACGTCCATTCCCCACCAGGAGGGTCTTATTAGGGATCTCCGCTTCTCCCTGGAGCAAAGACCTGAACCATCCCCACCTACCACCACCCTCCTCTGCTTGGCCAAGCTTGTCCTCACCCTCAACAACTTCTCATTCAACTCCTCTCATTTTCTTCAGGGAAGAGGGGTGGCTGTGGGTACCCGCATGGGCCCGAGTTATGCCTGTCTCTTCGTGGAGTACATGGAACATTCCTTGTTCCAGTCCTATTCCAGCCCCCACCCACAACTCTTTCTCCGATACATCGATGATATCATCAGTGCTGCTTCCCTCTCTCGTCTGGAATTGGAGAAGTTCATCGACTTCGCTTCCAATTTCCACCCTGCCCTCAATTTCACCTGGTCTATCTCTGACTCCCTCCTTTCCTTCCTCGACATCTCTGTTTCCATTTCTGGGGGTAGACTGGCCACTAATATTCACTATAAACCCACCAACTCCCATAGCTACCTCCTCACAGTAGATCCTCACACCTTGCTTCCTGTAAAGACTCCATCCTGTTCTCTCAATTCCTCCGTCTCCGTCGCATATGTTCAGATGAGGCTAACTTCAACAAGGGAGCCTCCGAAATGTCCACCTTCTTCCTCAACCAAGGTTTCCCCAGCTCCGTTGTCGACAGGGCCCTCAACCAGGTCCAACCCATCTCCCGCACTTCTGCCCTCACCCCTCCTCTTCCCTCCCGCAACAGCGATAGGGTTCCCCTTGTCCTCACCTACCATCCCACCAGCATCCACATCCAGACGCCATTTCTGCCACCTCCAGCGAGATGCCACCACCAGACACATATTCCCCTCCCCCTCCCTTGTCCGCCTTCCGCAACACTTCACCTACACTTCCCAGAATTTAGTCTACTGCATTCGCTGCTCACAATGTGGTCTCCTCTACATTGGGGAAATGAAGCGTAGACCTGGCGACCGCTTTGCAGAACATCCACGTTCTGCTCGCAAAAAAGACCCTGAACTACCTGTTGCCTGCCACTTCAACGCACCACCCTGCTTCCTAGCCAACATCTCTGTCTCTGGCTTGCTACAGTGTTCCAGTGAAGCCCAACGCAAGCTGGAAGCGCAACACCTCATTTTCCACTTGGGGACCCTGCAGCCCTCCAGACTCAATATTGAGTTCAATAATTTTCGGGCCTAAACTCTCCCATGTCCCAGCCCCCCACCCCACACACCAGGCCTTGTTACCACATAGCCTGCCATTACACACTCCCTGTTGTTAGTCACTAACAGACCCCAACTACTCACCCTCCCTGCCGAATCATTATCAACTCCTTTCTCTGTCCAACTGTTCTCCTCTGTCTTTAGGCTCTATCCTATTGTTTACGCCTTACCCCACCCACCTCCCTATTTTCTGCATATAAACTGACATTTTCCCAGCTACCATCAGTTCTGAGGAAGGGTCACTGGACCCGAAACATTAACTCTGATTTTTTTCTTCACAGATGCTGCCAGACCTGCTGAGCTTTTCCAGCAACTTCTGTTTTTGTAACTGATTCACTTTGATTGAACTTGCCTCTCCCACGATTGCATGCAGTATGTTCCAGATCCTAACCGCCCCCTGTATGGAAAAGTATTTCTTCACGTCTTTTTTGCTTTTTTTAAACCAGTTATATTAAATCACTGTCCTCTCAAAGGAGACTTTACTACTGATTGCCAGTCTGCTATTCCCATGTGGGGGAATCAGATACAAGTCTTTTTCTTTTCCTCACTTGACTAAACACACACCCTCTGTTTCCAGCAGGGATATTGGATAGTGACCAGGAGCAGACAATGTGGCTACTTTCCTTCATCCATTCAGTCCCCCAAGTTCCCAGACTCCATGAGAGCAATGAAAATGTCAGACAAGCAGAGTGTAAAATGGGCTATCAATTCACTTTGATTTATGAGTTCTGTTTGTGAAGATTAGATGTAACATATAACAATATAAAATGTAAGATTAAATATAAATAATGTTCAGGACAAATGTGAATTCAATGGAATTTTAAAATTATTTAAAGAAAGCATCTGGATAGGAATGCTGGAAGAAGAAAATATTGCTTCAGCTTGGCTGGATTGAAAGGTTCTGATTTATCCTGGGAAATTAGATTCACTGCATTCACTCAGACGGTACATCCCAAACTCAACTAATACCACAGCACTGAGCAAAATTGTCAAATCCATGCCCAGGCTTTTTGAATAGGCTGAGACCTTCAGGAACAATCTAAAAAGGAGGCATTCAAAAACATGGATGTGTCTCCAGGTATGATTGTCATATCACTATAGAATGAGGAGTTGAAAGGCCATTAGGGAATTTGAAAACAAGGATGAGAACTTCAAAATTGAGATGTTGCTTGTATCCCTGCAAGACCACTGGTGATTAGTAAACAAGATTTTGGCTCAGTTACAACATAGGCAACAGAGTTTCAATCAAGAACAAAAATGAAGTTGCTGGAAAAGCTCAGCAGGTCTGGCAGCATCTGTGAAGGAAAAACAGAGTTAACGTTTCGGGTTCGGTGACCCTTCCTCAGAAGCATCTGCCGGAGCCAAAACATTAACTCTGTTTTTTCCTTCACAGATGCTGCCAGATCTGCTGAGCTTTTTCAGCAACTTTGGTTCTGTTCCTGATTCACAGCATCAACAGCTCTTTCGGATTTTATTTAGAGTTTCAATCAATATATAGATGGCCCTACTGGAGAAGGGGCAAAACTTAACGTCCTCTTGGGAAATGGGCAAGGCAAGTGACTGAGATGTTAGTGGGGGAGCACTTTGGTACTAGTGACTATAATTCTATTAGTTCAAAAATAGTTAGGGAAAAGGATAGGCCTGGTCCACAAGTTAAAGTTCCAAATTGTGGCGAAGCCAATTTTGATGGTATTAGACAGGAAATTTCAAAAGTTGACTGGGGGAGGCTGTTCACAGGTGAAGGGATGTTTGACAAGTGGGAGGCTTTCAAAAGCGAGATAACGAGAGTTCAGGGACAGCCAGTTCCTGTTAGAGTGAAGGGCAAGGCTGGTAGGAGTTGGGAACATTGGATGACTAGAGATATTGAGATTCTGGTCAAGAAAAAGGAAGAGGCATATGGCAGATATAGACGGCTGGGATGAAGTGAATCCCTTGAGTGTAGGGGGTGTAGGAATATACGTAAGAGGGAAATCAGGAGGGTAAAAAGGGAATATGAGATAGCTTTGACAGATAAGGTGAAAGAGAATCCAAAGAGATTCTATCATAGAATCATAGAATCCCTACAGTGTGGGAACAGGCCGTTCGGCCCAACAAATCCACACCGACCCTTGGAGCATCCCACCCAGACCAATCCACCCATAACTTACCTAATCTACACATCCCTGAACACTACGGGCAATTTAGCATGGCCAATCCACCTAACCTGCACATCTTTGGACTGTGGGAGGAAACCGGAGCACACGGAGGAAACCCACGCAGACACCACACTCCACGAACTCCACACAGACAGTCACCCGAGGGTGGAATCGAATCTGGGTCCCTGGCGCTGAGAGGGTGCAGTGCTAACCACTGAGCCACCATGCTTCCCCCTAATTCTATGAGTATATTAAGGTCAAAAATGTAACTAGGGAGGGAACAGGGCACCTGAAAGATCAACAAGGCCATCGATGTGTGGAACCACAGGAGATAGGTGAGATCTTTAAAGAATATTTCCCCTCTGTATTTACTGTGGACATGGAAGCCAGGGATCTCAGGGAAATAATAGTGATGTCTTGAAAAGAGTCCACACCACAGAAGAGCAGATGCTACAGATCTTAAAGCATATAAAGGTCGATAAATGTCCAGGACTTGATCATATGTATCCCAGGACATTGTGGGAAGCTGGGCAAGAAATTGCGGAGCCTCTAGCAGAAATATCCGTATCATCGACAGCCATGGGAAAGGTGGTAGAAGACTGGAGGGTGGCTAATGTGGTGCCATTATTTAAGAAAGGCTGCAAGGAAAAGCCAGGGAACTACAGACCAGTCAGCCTGACATCAGTGAAGGGTTGTTGGACAGGATTCTGAGACAGGATCTACATGCATTTGGAGAGGCAAGGACTGATTAGGGAATTTGTGTCTCACGAACTTGATTGAGTCTTTTGAAGAGATGACCAAGAAGATAGATGAAGGCAGAGCATGGATCTTCGCAAGGCCTTCGACAAGGTACCATACAGTAGACTGGTTAGTAAGATTAGATCACATGGATCCTGGGACAGCTGGTCAACAGATACAAAATTGGCTTGACACTAGGAGACAGAGGCTGGTGGTAGAGGGCTGTTGTTCAGACAGGAGGCCTGGAACCAGCGATGTGCCGCAAGGATTGGTGCTGGACCCACTGTTGTCCATCATTTATATAAACAATTTAGATGAGAATATAGGAGGCTTGGTTAGTAAGTTTGCAGATGACACCAGAATTGATGGTAAAGTGGACAGTGAAGAAGGTTATCTAAAAGTACAATAGGATCTTGATCAACTGGGCAATGGGCCAAGGAATGGCATATAAATACGAGATGTTGCAATTTGATAAGACAGATCAGGGCAGGACTTACATGGTTATTGGTAGGACCCTGGAATGTATTGTCAAACAGAGAGACCTGTTTCGAACAGAGAGAACAGGGTGCGGGTACATAGTTCCTTGAATGTGGCATCACAGGTGGATGGGTAGTGAAGAAAGCATTTGGCATGCTTGCCTTCATCGGTCAGAACACAGTACAAGAGTTGGGACGTCATCAATTTACAAAAATTGATAAGGCCACATTTGGAGTAATACGTACAGTTCTGGTCATCTTGCTATAGGAAGGATGTTATTAAACTGGAAAGGTTGCAATAAAGATTTACAAGAATATTACTGAACCTGGAGGGTTTGAATTGTCAGGAGAGGCTGGATAGGCTGGTACATTTTTCCCTTGAACATAGGAGACTGAGAGGTGACCTTATAGCTTTTTATAAAATCATGAGGGGCATAGATAATGTGAATAGCCAAGGTCTTTTCCCCAGGGTAGAGATGTCCAAAACTAGACGGTATAGGTTTAAGGTGAGAGGGGAAAGATTTAAAAGCGACCTGAGGGATAATGTTTTCATATACGGAATGAGCTACCAGAGCAAGTGGTTGAGTTGAGTACAATTACAACATTTAAAAGGCAACAAGGTGTACAGCTGGATGAACACAGCAGGCCAAGCAGCATCATAGGAGCAGGAAGGCTGATGTTTCGGGCCTAGACCCTTCTTCAGAAATGTAATTCAGAAATTTAAAAGGCATCTGGACAGGTACATGGATAGGAAAGGTTCAGAGGGATATAGGCCAAATGCAGGCAAATAGGACTAGTTCAAGTTTAGGAAATCTGGTCAGCATGGACAAGTTGGACTGAACGGTCTGTTTCAGTGTTGTATTACTCTACTGCAGTGGCTCAGGTTACAGCGCAACATCCAGTCAGAAAAGTACTCCACATGAATGAGGTAGGGCTCAGGGCAGATTCACAAGAATGATTCCAGCAATGAGAAACTTCAATTCTGTAGAGAAAGGAGAGAAGGTAGAACTTTTCTCCTTGGAGAAAACTCAGCCTGGAAATCAGAAGGGAAATGCTTCCAACAAACACACTCAATATCCAACACACAGCTCCAGTCAAACAGTTCAGCACAAAGCACCGAGTAAACAGCTCTCTCAGCTGGATCTTCTCACACAGCATAAGGGACATTTCCACCTCTGACTGTCCACAGGATAGTCAGACTGCCTGAAGATTGGTGTTGATATTATGGGATACAATTTGTATAAAAGCTGTTCCCTCACTCACCATCTCCTCACTTGGTTTTCAGTCCCTATAGGAAGTGAACCAGCTCTGGAAGAGGAAGAGGAGAGAATGGGCAGAGTGGGTGGGCTCTCTGATTGACGTCTCTCACAGCCAATCCAAATATTTCTGCAGCAACATGAGTTTCCTGAAGCTTGGGAAACTGACCGGTGAAATGGAGGTGACTTTGAGCAGCAGATCAAGTGGGGATTTAAACTTGTCATTGTCCCATCTGAATAAAACCTCACTTATTGCAGCTGCTGTCTCAGTTCCCCTGATAAATGACAGAGATTTCTAGTGTGGGAATAGCATTCTTCATCCTCAGAGGCTTTCAAACTGACAGCATCAGAGTGGGATGTTTATCCTTGTGTTTGACAGCAGATCAGAAGCATCCAAGGCAGCGATGATGTGCATGGGTGGGATCAGTATATGCACAGCAGAAAGAGGCTGACGAAAGAGGGCAGGAAGTAGGGACAGAAGAGTAAGGGACATATAAGAAAGAGCTAAATTTTATTGATCCAGTAGTCGGAGAGCTTTATGAGACTTCTGGAGACTGGTTCTGGGGGAGTGACCCTCTAAGCAGAAACTCTATAAACACAGGAGAAAGAAAGGAACGGAGGAAATATGCTGATAGGATGAGATGAAGAGGAGAGAGAGGAGGCCAACATGTAGCATGAACACCATATGGACCAAATGGGCCGAATGGCCTCGTCCACACTGTAACTCTATCCGTGCAACCTTCCGTGGATTTGGATTTGTAGCCTATATTTGAATTGTTAATCTAGCATCATAGCAATTCAGTTGCTATATCGGGACACATTTATTGAAAGACAAAAATAGAGATTGCTGGAAAAGCTCAGCAGGTCTGGCAGCATCTGCAGAGAGAAATCAGAGTTAACGTTTCAGGTCAAGTGACCCTTCCTCAGAATCCGACCTGAAATGTTAACTCTGATTTCTCTCCAGATGCTGCCAGATCTGCTGAGCTTTGCCAGCAATTTATATTTTTGTCTCTTATTTATAGCATCTGCAGTTCTTTCGGTTTTTATCACATTTATTGAAATGTCTTTTAATGCCTTCTCATTGAGGAAAAGAAGGGACCTGCATCTGATGCCCAAAGTACTGTCTGTTTTGGCATTGCTTGTCTTAAACCTTTCCTGTCATCAGTTTAATCATTTCAAAAAGGCAACTGAACTGTAAGCCCCACTCAACTATTCCACCAGAGGAATAGTTTCTGTCTGACTAATTATTCAACTCAATTAAATTCTTAAACTCTTCAATTAGATTGGTTTTGTTTTTGATAGTGAGTATGGCCTAACTGCCTGATGTCGGGGGCCTTCTTTTGATGCAGTAGTAGTGTCCCTATCCCTGCACCCTGAGGCCCAGGTTCAAGCCCCAACTGTTTTAAAGGTGTGTCAATAACACCTCTGTACAGGTTGATTATAAAAATAGGTTAAATAAAAAAAACTGGCTGGTTTTGTTAGCCTGACACCTGTCCTGAAAAATCTAATGGAGAAGTATGTGCTTTTTACATTTTTTTTAAAAAAATGGATTAAACAGCTTTCTCCCTGCCACCCTGACAAGTTTCTCACTCCTATCCCCCAGCTCTAACAGGCATTTGCCCCACCTGCACTCACAGACTTCACCACATCCCCTACTATCCCAGACTTTCTTCCTCTTTTTTTCAGTTACAGAATCTCAGAACCCACCCAGACTTGGGTAATAATGGAAAAAAAAGCTTGGAAAGCACTGGGTTAATAATGAAAGCAGCTCACCACCTTCTACTTGAAGTCAATTAGGGATCAGCAATAAATGTAGGTCTTATTAGTATTTGTCATGTACAATGAGAGAATAGAATGAAAACAAAAAAGACCTCTGCAAGTTAACAAAGATCCAAACAAATGAAACAGTTGTCGTCACCACATTCCTGAACTGCATTGAGACTTGCACTGTGTGTCAGCAGCACAGAAAACTATGAGAGATATTCCAACGGCAATGCCTCTTCTGCATTCTCTAGATTTACTGGGAGAAGCTTCAAAGGAACACTCATGTCCTTCTTTAAAGTCATATCTGAAAGCATGCAAGCTTAAGGTGAGAGGGAAAAGATTGCATCCCCCCAATCAAGATCATCTCTTCTCAGCCCCCTCCTTCCCATTATCCTCACTCCTATGCCTCTCACTCTGCGATGCCCACCTCTGTGGTTTTCGGTCCAGTGTCCCTGCCTCCCTCCTGTACCTGTGCTGATCCTACCTCTGCAGGTCATCACTGCCTTGGATGCTGTGGGTCTTCCTCTTCTGATCTGCTGTCACACACACCCGAGGCTACCCATCCCACACTGATGTTGTCGGTTTGAAAACCTCTGAGGATGAAGAATGCTACTCCCACACTAGAAATCTCTGTCAAACATTTACCAGGGGAACTGAGACAGCAGCTGCAATAAATGAGGTTTTATTCAGATGGAACAGTGACAAGTTTAAATCCCCACCTGATCTGCTGCTCAGTTACCTTTGTTTCACTGGTCAGTTGCCCAAACCTCAGGAAACCTGTGTTCATTGTGGAGTAATTTGTATTTTAAACTTTGTTCTATGTAGTGTGTGTACTGTCCTCAAACCTGTACTTGCGTATGATAATATCAGAGGTCACATTCAGTCTACAAGGGTATTTATCCAAATATCTCCCTTTTATAACAAAAGGAAAAAAGTACATACATTATCATTTGCAATTTATTTCACATACACAATTCATCAAGAAGATTATTCTCGTCTTTTCCAATTTCATCTGTCCCTGCACTTGTAGTGCATATCTGATTTTGAAAGTGTTCAAGTCTTAAGTAACATCATTTGCAAACATTTTGAAGCAGAAATAAGTGATTTGTGAAGTTTCCTTTGAAATGACTTCTGGTCAGATTCCGCCATTACTTTCTCTCACAAACAGGTACTGTTTAAAAAGTTCACAAGCAAAGATAATAACCAAGTTCTCTTTCTCAAACTGTGCACATTGTTATTCAGTGCATGTTAATGCTCTGGATACAAACACAACGGGTTGCTCTCACTGCCTGGGGGTCGCTCCAAGTCCTGTGTCACTGACATCACACTGCAGGGTGGCTCCATTGTTGACATCATGATACCTCAGTGCTGGAAGGGGGTCTTGTGGTGCAGTGGTAATGACCCTACTTCTGGGCTAGAAGATCTGATCTCAAATTTCACCTGCTCCAGAGATGTGTCGTAATCATGTCTGAACAGGTTGATATAAAAATAACTACTTCAGCACTGCTTTTGACATTGCTAGTTGTTTGATGTGAGTGAAAGCTGCTCCTTTCTCTGTGCCCCAATGACCATCCTGTACAGTGAGCTTGAATAGAGGTTCAAGCTCCTAGTCTTCATGTGGGTTCACTGATGTTCCAGCAGGTCTCACTACTGTGTGATGGATTTGTTTTAACAGAACACATCCTGATAGATTTGCTCCTGTGTGTATTGAAGGAGCAGGAGATATGCTGACTGTGTGAAAGTCTTGTCACAAGCGTCACACCTAAAGAGATTCTGTCCTATGAGAATCCTGTAGTGTCTCAGGAAGTTGTAAAATATTACATCAGCTTTATTACAAACCTCGCACATGAATTTTTACACCTCGGTGGAGCAGGAATTTTGAAGACCCTGAGAATGATTTATCACACATCTTGCACTTAAATGGTTTCTCCCTTGTGTGCATACATTGGTGTACGTGGAGGTTTGATAATTGCGGAAATGACTTGTTACACACCTCACATGTAAATGGTTTCTCCCCAGTGTGAATTTGTTGGTGTAATCGGAGACCCGTTAAATCGAGACTGATTTGTCACACGAATCACACCCAAATGGCTTCTCTCTTTGTGTGGATCCTTTGGTGGAGCAGGAGATTCCAGGACCTCAAGAATGATTTGTCACACAGTCTGCACACAAAGGGTTTCTCCCCAGTGTGAAATGCGTTGGTGCCTGCAGAGATTTGATGACCCTGAAAATGACTTGTCACACGCCTCGCACCTGAATGGTTTCTCTCCTGTGTGAACCCTCTGATGCAGCAGGAGCTTCAATGACTGCAGGAATGATTTGTCACATGCCTCACATTTAAACGGTTTCTCCCCAGGATGGATGTGTTCATGTGCATGGAGATTTCCTGACTGCGAAAATGATTTGTCACACACATTGCATGTGAATGGCAAAGCCCCAGACAATGTTTTGGTGTTTGTGGAGTGTTAATGAATTTGAGAATGATTTGTTGCATACTTCACACATGAATGGTTTCTCTCCTGTATGCATCCGCTGGTGAATACGAAGGTGTGATAACTGCAAAAATGATTTGTCACATACATCACAAGTGAATGGTCTCTCTCTGGCGTGGATGTGCTGGTGTGCGCGAAGGTACGATGAATTTGCAAATGACTTGCCACACAATTCAAATCTGAATGGTTTCTCCCCTGTGTGAACACGTTGGTGTATGCGGAGGAATGATGACTGTGAGAATAATTTAAGGCATACCTCATATGTGAACGGTTTCTCCCCTGTGTGAATGAGTTGGTGTGCAAGGAGAGCTGATGATTTTGAGAATGATTTATTGCACATCTTGCATGTAAATGGTTTCTCCCCCGTATGAATGTGCCGATGATTCACCAGGCCTGATGACTGTCCAAAGTTTTTGTTGCACACCTCACACTTGAACCATTTCACCACAGTGTGAATGCATTGGTGACTGACGAGCATTGATGAATGTACAAAGGCTCTGTCACATACCTCGCAATTAAATAGAGATAACAAGGTGGAGAGCTGGAAGAACACAGCAGGCCAAGCAACATCAGAGGAGCAGGAAAGCTGACGTTTCGGGTCTGGACCCTTCTTCAGAAACATTAAATTAGCTAGCAATTAAATGCTTGCTCTCCCATAGATCAGCTCTAGTGCTAACAGTTGCAATGTGTTTGGAGACGTTATCAACCTGCAGAGCCAGCCTTACATTTGAACAGCCTTTCACTTGTCAGAATGAGTCAGTGGTTCATGAGGCTTGATGAATGACTGAAGCTCTCACCACACTTGGAGCCACTCACACTTCTTCCCAGCCTGACCCTGACCGATCACCCACAGCCGAACCTTCAGAAAGGTTGGTTCTGATGGAAGGCTCCACACCACTGACCAGTTTCAGATCTGATGGTATGTCAAAGTTCCGCTGACCCGACCCGATTTCCAGATGATGGTTTCACTGACCAACCTTCTCTGTGTTGAGCAATGCTGTGAAGGGACCAGATGTCTTCCCAAAGTCATGCAGTTGTTCCTTCGATAATAGTCAGGATCTATCTGCAGTGTCTATTGATTCTGCATTCTCCGGTGTAGTACAGTGTAATCCTTCTGTAAAACAGGAAAAGGAAACATGTTTCATTCCAATTCTAACTTTCTTCCCTTGTTTATACCTTCACAGGATGTGTGCATTTCTGGCCATGCAGGCGTTAATTGCCCATTCTTATTTGCCCCCTTGGGGTGTAGGGACATCTTGATTTACTAATTTAGATTTTATTGTCACATGTACGAAGTATAGGAATACATCAGTACAGTGAAAACTGCGCATAGTTGCCATTCTCTGGTGCCATCTTGGTTACAAAGCCAGAATTAAAAGATTTAACACATTCAAAAGGTAAAAGAAAGAAAAGTCCACATCTCAAAATCCAAAGTCCCATCTCCACGAATGTGCCTGGAACGCTCAGTCACGGTGCAGGCACCAGGGCATGGCTTTAGCCTGAAGTTTAGGCCAGCCCATGAGTCCCACCCAGAGGACCCACTGTTTTACTGCCACTGCTGCCTCCAATCGCCAGAAGGAGCTCCGCTGCCACTGTTCAGGATGCCGGAAGAAGCTGTGCCATCACTGACACCGCCGCTCCCAATGCCAGGAGGTTCGCCACTGACTCTGGCCCGCACTCAGTGATCTGGCCCGCGCTCAATCATCCAGCCCACGCTTGATTGTCTGGCCTGCGCTTGATCCTCTGGCCCGCGCTTAATCATCCAGCCTGCACTCGATCCTCTGATCTGTGCTCAATCATCCAGCCTGTGCTCAATCCTCCAGCCTGTGCTCGATCCTCCAGCCTGCGCTCGATCCTCCGGCCTGCGCTCGATTGTCCGGCCTGCGCTCGAACCTCCAGCCTGCGCTTGATCGTCTGGCCTGCGCTCGATCATCCGGCCTGCGCTCGATCATCCGGCCGGCGCTCGATCCTCCGGCAAGTACTTGATCCTCCAGCCCGTCTTCAATCTGCCGTCATCGCTCTGGCCCATGCTGGATCCACTGCCGCTGCAGTACACGGCCTGCGTGTTCAGCTCCCAGGGTGACAGGGTTGGGGGGGTTGAAACTTGCAGTTGGTGGTGTCCCATGCATCTGCTTGCCCTTCTAGATGACTAAGGTGACAGGTTTAGAAGGTCAGAAATCACACAACACCAGGTTATAGTCCAACAGGTTTATTTGAAAACACAAACTTATGGAGCATAGCCCCCTCACCCTGATGAGGGTGGGGCTACACTCTGAAAGCTTGTGTTTTCGACTAAACCTGTTGGACTATAACCTGGTGTTATGTGATTTCTGACCTTATCCACCCCAGTCCAACACAGGCACCTCCACATCAGGTTTAGAAGGTGCTGTCTAAGGAGCCTTGGTGGATTTCTGCAGTATATCTTGCAACACCCTGTAAATAAATACCAAAAAAGAAAGAAATGAAAGCAACTGATTTTTGTCTCCCGCAACTGTCCAACACCCATTTCATTCCCTTTTTTTTTCATCTGATGCACTTTTTAAAAATTTAACAGAATCTAATTGTGAATTAGAATATTTATTTTCTTCTCTTGTCAATCCTCTCTGTAAATTGAAGTTCAAAGAACAAAGAGAACAAAGAACAACACAGGAACAGGCCCTTCGCCCCTCCAAGCCTGCACCGACGCATTTTGCCCTTCCATACTAAAACTGTCTTCACTTACAGGATCTGTATCCCTCTATTCGCTTCCTATTCATATATTCATACAGGTGTTTCTTGAACGCTGCTATTGTGTCTCCTTCCACCACGTCCTCTCCAAGCACTCACCTTGCACATCTCTTTTAAACTTCCCCTATGGAAGGATAATGTTAAATAGATCAGAATACCCCAGTCAGTAAAGCAAAGGTTACAACGGCAGCAAAACAGCAGAATGCTTTAGACACTAGAAACCAGAGAAAGTTCCAGACAGTCAAAAACAGGAAAATTCTGAGATACAATAAGATTAAAAAGAAATACATGCTGATAGTCACATAGCTGATACCTAAAAGTGACTCCTAGCTTCTGTAAAAGCAAGACTTTTGCAGCAGAGAGCAGAATGCCTTTAACTGCAAAAACCACACTTGGCTGATGACTGCTAAGCTTGAAATAGGTAACATAATAGTGAATGCCATAAGATGATTGGTGTATTGTGTTGCTAAGGCTTATGATGAAGATGTAACTGGACAATGAGGAAACATGATTTTTGTGGAGAAAAATGCAACTGCTACTGCCTGTATTAGACTCGTCTTGCAGGGTTACCAGTAACCCTCTTCTTGCATGCAAGCAATAAACTATTTAATGTTCAACAAATCGCCATTTGACTAGTAATTTCTACGACAATATTTCTTGGAGGTCCCACCAAGATGGCAAACCCTCCAGCTTGAAGCACCGGCCTTGATACCACGCCTCACCAGTAACCGAACCAGCCGCAGCAAGGTACAAAAACTAAAATCACAAGGTATTCGTGGTGGCCTAGCTGAATGGATAGAAAACTGGCTTGGTCATAGAAGACAGAGGGTAGTGTTGGAAGGGTGTTTTTCAGAATGGAGACCGATAACTAGTGGTGTTCCACAGGGATCAGTCTTAGATCTGCCGTTGTTTGTAGTATATATAAATGATCTGGAGGAAAATGTGGGATGGTCTGATAAGCAAGTTTGCTGATGACACGAAGATTGGTGGAATTGCTGACAGTGCCAACGATTGTGAAAGGATACAACAGGATGTAGATAGATTGGCGAGTTGGGCACAGAATTGGCAAATGGAGTTTAATCCAGACAAATGTGAGGTGATGCATTTTGGAGGATCAAATGTAGGTGTGAATTATACTGTAAATGGCAGAACCCTTAGGAACATTAACACACAGACGGATCTGGGTGTGCAGGTCCATAGTTCCCTAAAAGTGGCAACAGAGGTAGCCAAGGTGATTAAGAAGGCATATAGCATGCTTGCCTTCATCGCCCCAGGGCATGGGGTACAAGAGTTGGCAAAACATGTTGCAGCTATATAAACCCTTGTTAGGCCGCATTTGGAGTATTGTGCAGAGTTTTGGTCACCACATCATCAGAAAGATGTGGAAGCTTTGGAGAGAGTGCAGAGAAGGTTCACCAGGATGTTGCCCTGTCTCGAGGGCATTGACTATGAGGAAAAATTAAAAAGACTAGGATTGTTTTCACTGGAAAGACGGCGGCTGAGAGGAGACCTGATAGAGGTCTACAAAATTATGAGAGGCATAGAAAATATAGTGAGAGGCTTTTTCCCAGGGTTGAAGTTTCAATTACAAGGGGGCATAGGTTCAAGGTCAGAGGGGGAAAGTTTAGGGGGATGTGCGAGGGAAGTTTTTCACACAAAGAGTGGTACCAGCCTGGAATGAACTACCAGATGAGGTGGTGGAAGTTGGCACATTGAAGACATTTAAGAGGCACCTAGATGGGTACATGAATATGAAGGAAATAGAGGGATACGGATCGAAAAATGGCAGGTTTGTTTTTAGATTAATAAAGGCATGATGGTCAGCACAGGCTTGGAGGGCCAAAGGGCCTGTTCCTGTGCTGTACCTTTTCATTTGTTCATTCATTTGTTCATATAAAGGTGGGGAGTTTTATCCCTTTTGTGGTTTGTTTTACTGGTGAGATCCGAGGTTGTGTCCTGTGTCCAAGTACAAGGTAAGCCATGAATGGTGATGCGTTGACAGGGGAGTTTTGAAGTCATGGCTGAGGTTTAAGAAGGCACTCAAGTAAATAAAGTGAAGTCTCTAGCGAAATAGGGGAAAACAGGACTCAGTTTAAAGGCTTTACTTCTGCAAGAGGAAATGAATCCCTCCTCGGTGAAGTTATGTAAGAAGTTACCTCCATAAAGGTGAGAGAGGGAAAGTCCTCCCTGGGGGGTAAAGGCCGGTTTGCCTCTGCAAGAGGGTCGGAGCCCCCTCGGTGAGGTGATGCAAGGCCCAGGGACTGTTAGGGTTTAAAATTTCCGAAAATCTGATTGGATAAAGATTTAATTTTACTTCGCAAAATGGTCACAATGGGGAACAACGTATCCAATGAGATGTACGCACAAAAGGGGACACCATTGGCATATATGTATATTCATTATGGGCCCGATTCAGTCAAGTATGTCGACAAATGGGTAAATTGGACGCAGGAAACAGAAAAGCCATTTCCCCCGACAGCACTTTTAATTGTGATCACAAAACAATTAGGTGTGATTTTGACTCAAAGAGAAAAAAAACGAAGAAAGAAATTAGGTGGTCAGCTTTTCAAAGTTGGTAGACAGAATCTAATAAAAGGAGGGAAGAGTCAATTCGGAAAAGTAAACAAATTGAGGAAAATAAGAAAAAGAACAGAAATAATGATAGCTGGGTCAAATAAGAACAGTAATAAATTGATGACTTCTACTAAGTCTGGACTGAGGCCTGACAGTGACGACGAAGTTCAGGCCCATGACTGAGATGATTGTACCAGGCATGACAATCTAAGACAACAAGACAGACAAGCCCATGATCCATCTGCCCTGTCGCAGATTCAAGTACTCATTCCCAACCTTCCTCCACCATGTTACCATCCCCAAACTATGGCAAGCCCTGTGCCAAGTAATCAATCCACTTATACCACTGGTACCGGCGGGCAACACCAATGCCCGTTATTTTGGTAGTGAAAATTTTTCTAGTTCCTATTTTAAAACATACCCGTTCCCAAACTGGAAGCGGAGGTGCACTGATTCGCCAACTACCCTATTACATGCATTCCCTGGTCCAGATGGCCAAGCAGTCCAGGTCTATCGACCTTGGACCCCTTCTGACTGACGGGGTATTGTTGAAACTGTGCCAAATCCAAAAACTAATATTGAGGAATTCCTACAAAAATTAGGAATTTTGCGTAAGTGTCATAAGCCAAACTGAGAGGGTTTGGATCTTATGATGGATGCTGGTGCCTTGGAACCAACAAAGGGAGACAGGTTAAAGCAACGTGTAGCTGGCCCAGAGGACCCTTGTGATAACACTCATTTGGGCAGCTTTGGGAAGATTTTAAAAAGGCTCTAGTTGAGAGTTATCCACGAACTGTTGATTGGACAAAAATT